AATTGAGAAGCCACTCATCAGTGATGCTAATGCCCATAACAGGAAAAGGTGATGTTTAAGTCATAAAGCCTGGACTATAGAGCAGTGCAAGCGAGTAATATGGTCTGACGAATCTTCTTTCACATTGTTTCCCACTTCTGGCCGAGTTTACGTCTGGAAAACGCCATCTCAAGCCTATAATACAGACTGCTTGATGCCAAGAGTGAAACATATGGTTTGGGCAGCCATATCGGTTCTCTGCTAGCCCCATGATAACTGTGTCAGGGCACATGACTGCCAAGACTTATGTGAACATTTTGGCTGATCAAGTTCATCCCATGGTACAAACTTTGTTCCCCCGATGGTGATGGTGTCTTCCAAGACGACAAAGCCCTGTTCACACAGCTCACATTGTCCAGGACTGGTTTTCTGAGCACGAGGATGAGTTGTCCTATCTCCCCTGGCCACCACAGTCACCAGACCTGAATATTATCGAACCTTTGTGGTATACATTGGAACGGAAAGTGCGTTCTCGTTATCCACCGCCAACATCGTTATCTGAACTTGCCGCCGTTTTGCAGGAAGAATGGTATAATATTTCCTTGGCAAACATACAGGAACTGTATTTATCCATTCCGAGAAGACTGCAAGCTGTTTTGGATGCCAACGGGTTTCCTACACCATATTAAGCAAAGAAACATGTTTTTTTAAAGGTGTTTCCATATTTTTGTCCAACCCCTGTATGAGAAATGCAGTATTTATTAAGAGAGAATAAGCATTACCTCAGCCATGGAAAATACTTTTTTTTTTTAATTTTAAATAAAAGTTCAATTTACAGAACTAGTTTACAATGAGAGAAAAAAAAACTATGCAGAACTAAACTATATTACAAGATTTAATGATGAAATTTCAGTTCAAAATAGAGGAAATAAATAATAATAAGGCATATTTATTCTATTCGCTTTGAACTTAATAATAAATACAATTTATTTTTCCACTCTTATTGATATTTAACTAATTTAAATCTAAATTCTGAACATTTTCTAAATTTTCATCGTATATCAGTTTTCCATTAACAGATATTGCAAGCAAAGTAATTTAAATAAAAAAGAGGAACATTTCTGAAATCAGAAGACAGAAATTTGCTTTATGCAGTCATCCTTTAACAGTAAAAGCTTAACTACCCGCCTACTTGAAAATTGGTGAATATTTGGACAGCGGAGCGTAACTTGAAAAAGAGGAGCGAAGGGGGATAGAATGTAGCGTTCTTTAGATTTTTCCGCTAAATAAATGCTTTTGACATTTCGATATGTGCAAGTTCCGTTGGTTTGTTTCATATAAAAACAAACCAACGGAACAGAAAAATATTCTGCTCTGCAAGCACGGGAAAACTCTTAAGTGTTCATAAACAAATCTGGGACTGAACATCAAAATTAATTATCTCTGCAAAATATCGCAAACGTTATTGCGCAATACGTGCGCCGTAATTCTTCCCTACGTGATATTATGTAATCAGATTCAACAGCTGCTGGTATTGGGAGAATAAAGAACTAAAGAAAGGAAAAGAAAGAGACTAATCTGGGATGTTTTTGATTCTAATTTTGAACAGACCTTTAAATTTCCGGAATAGAATCATTCTTCGCTTGGGTTGGGTAGACCGCAAAACTTTTAGTCCTATTCAGTCCAGATTGGACAGTGACAAAAAAAAAAAAAAAAGTCCGCTGCTTCAATATTAGGAGATTTTGCGGAGAAAGGGAAGAACCTCCCAACCTCCGTACTGTATAATGTATTGGCAAAAAAAAATTCTGACTTTTCAATTACTTTCCTTTTAATCAAGCGATTCCGAATATTATTCCTTAGAAAGCTAATCTGTGTAAAAATAAACCCATTTTTGAAAGTTTATCTACACTTCAGCAGCTACTACTATATTATAAATATTAATACATATGCTCATAATATAAGCATAACGATCATAATAAACACGAATATGAACTGACCTCGCGGAACGAGAATGTAAATTATTAAAAATCTTGATAGAAATTCAAACGTGTGTAGTATTTGGGTGGGAGGAAAAGAATACCGAATGTACCGGAATTTCTACGGTTTTCGCAATTCTTTGACCAATAGAATGACGTGCACCTGTCTGTACCGAGTCTGTACTCTCGCGCACACCATAAGTTACGTCATTGCGGAGAAAGGGGGAAAAGCTATTTCCGGGAGTACGATTCACCATCTGACGTTCCATATAAGGAAGACAAGTTGTTTATTTAGTTTCCGCTTTGGTACGGGGGGAGGGATGCGCGTTCATTAAAAAAGCACTAAAAGCAAAAAATAAATACTAAAAACAAAAAAATAAGGGCTTTAAAGAAAAAAGTAAGCACCTATAAGGTATTTCAAATATAAAGACTTATAAGCACTTGTAAGGACCGCTAGGAACCCTGTTTACATTACAACAGTGAAAAGTAAAAATGTTTCATTCTTAATGTTATTTCTTAAATATATTTTCAGTGTTATTCCCAGATATCTGAAATAAAAAATTCCTATAGAAACTAATCTTAACATCACCAAAGCAAAAATTCCCAAATTTAGAGCAGTTTAATAAAAGAATGAGAAAAAAAAAAAAAAAAAAAAAAAAAAAAACCGAAAAAGATGCTTAAGAACTCTTTAAAAAAATGAAAATTTTGAAATGTTTATGTATAACTTCTTGTCCAGAATCTAGAGTATAACCAACCATATTTGTCAGTGAATCACCAAAATATTCTAAAATGCTATTCACACTCAAAAATGGCAGTCGTAAAAACAAATTTCAGATGATTAAAATTTAAGGACCTTCCAATTTTGGCCGAAATTAAGACTTTTAAGGACCGTATGAACCCTGTTTGAACAATGATAAAAATTTTGTCTTGGTGCACGGTAAGTAACATTTTCGGTTTAGCTGCTTTCATACCGGCAAAATGAAAAATAAATGATAGTAGGCTATCTGTAGCGTATTGGAGAATAATAATAAAGTAAAAAATTAAAGGTCAGCTTTCACGTGCAAGAACAGCATTCAAAAGAAACGATTAGAAAAATACTAGCATTACAGTAATTAACAAGATATCTTTATATCATATCTTAAATTTTGCCAACTCGATCCCTTTGTTTTAAGTCATCTAATGATCTGTTATCTCCTACAGCTTGCAAGTTATTATCTTTGTTCAATCCATAACCTTTAGAATTGTTAAGAGCATTACGATATCCTTATTTGATTGAAGCTCTTCTCAATTATTACTTCGCCAATCAGAGCACATACACCAAAAATCCATAAGACAAAATAAGTACTGTATGCCATTAAAAAGTTAAGGAAGGTCACCTTCCGAGACTTCCTCAGCACATTTGCGAGCAGATCGATCCCTTTGTCGTTGCTCAGCCCTGCAAACATAAAAATCAAAACTTTTTTTTTTTTTTTTGTTGTTGTTTACATCCCATGCAGTAACAGAAAAGCATCTCTAGGTTTACAAAGGCTCACCTCCCAGCACTGATGCCATGGAGGACACAGCAAGTTTTGAACAACTACTGAAAAATGACATAAGATGCTGTGTGTGTGTGTATGTGTGAAATAAAAGAGAGAGCTGTGAGGATAGTGACTCTCAATGCATTTTCAAGGTGTACATGCCATCACTGGCGGATTCAAGTTGCGTGTAGTTCGAACGTTCTAAGAGCTTAAAAAAGCTACCTGGCTGATCCTCCCAGAAGTCGTATGTCTTGAAGATTAAGCCATACATGTCTAAGTACATGCTGCATTAAGGCAAAACTGCAAATGGCTCATTAAATCAGTTATGGTTACTCAGATTATACCTTGCTGCTCGGATAACTGTAGCAATTTTTGAGCTAATACAAAGAGAGCTTCTGACCCTCTGCAGATGAACGCTTTTATTAGACCAAAATCAACCCAACATACTGTCCCTATTATGTGATGACTGTACAACTTCTGGCTCATCCCAGCAACATATCTTTTCAAGTGTCTGCCTTATCAACCATCGATGGTAGGTTATACACCTACCATGGTCGTAATGCAGGACTTTTACAGCACACCGTTTGAACAACTACTAAGAATCCCAAGAATACACTTCTACCTCAAATATACTGTATCTTCATGCAAACATTTAATATAGATCAAATATGACTCAAATGACCAACAATTCACTGGAAACACTGTTACACAAAAATTTTAATTTTCACTTTAAACAGTTCTGCCAAAACGAAAATTCAATTTTCACATAATTAAAATTTCATCTGTTTGATACAAAAGTTTTAAATCTATATTGAACATAAACTTCTGTGCTTTAAATGTCATAAAATATATATTTCATTAATAATATAAAATTTGAAGTATGATTACAGATAATTTAACACGCACAACATTTAAGATTAGTCTTATCTACATAAAAAATTACATCCCAGTAAGTTTTTTCAGTCCTTAACATCAATAAGTTTCAATTTCTGATATTAAACAGAAATCCTGAAATAATCATCAATTTACACTATACTAGCATATTTAATATTACAGTACAAAGTACATAATCCAGACGTCCATTATCTGGAATTATCTATAATCCGGACCTCACAGCCACAAACTTTATGCATGCGCGTAAAGAATGTGCATAGTGTATGCTTTACTCATGCACGCTTTGAAAGAAATGTTTAATAAAGTAAACAAATATTAAGCTGCTTTTTTATAAAATTTGATACGCTTTAGATCACAGTAGCTCTTTATTTCATAAATTACAGTTTCATATTAATTGTACAATTTCTGCACGCCATCTTACCAGATTTAAATTCATGATCTATAACCCAGAAAAACCCATAATCCGGAATCGCCAAAGTCCCGACGAGTCCGGATTACGGACTTTGTACTGTATAAACTATAAATTGAGAAAAATTATTAAATATTTTCATAGATTATAAACTGAGAAATGTGAACAGAACTATTTTATACAAGTTACTTAGGTTTCATGCAATTCAGATGCCAAATTACGTACTGAAGTTTTCTTCCTTTTGTCCTTTGGAGGAATCTTCAGTTTTGCTTTCCATCCCATATCATCAGCCATCATGTCCCTTTGATAGAGAGAGAGAACACAAAAATATACTTCATTTTTCACTTTTATTTGTACATATATAAATAATTTCAGCGAAATTACATGCATTTTTGTAAAATGTGGCAAGAAATATCGTAAGATTATGTTCCAATGGAAAAAAATAAGATTACACGGGCAAGTGCATTTAATACTATTTTGTTAAAACGATTCACAGCTAACTAACAAGGATATTGATGAATGTACTCGGAACAGGCACAGATCAAGAGCGATGTGCAAAGATGGGAGAAAAGCAGAAAGAATTGACCAAGGAATGAGATCACTGAAAAATATCAAACCTTTACAAAGAAAAGGAGAGTCAGTTTGGCAGAGATGTATCAGTTTATTTGATGTTTTCTTTCCTTAAATACCAGATGAGACACAAGCATATATATATAGCTAACATGCATAAAAAATAGGCGCTTCCCATAAATAATAAAGGAGAAAATGCTAGTGTTTACATTAAGAGGAAAATTAAATTTTTTGGTATGCTTCCCAATAACAGCTCTTTGTGAACTGTTACATAACTGCAGTTTAATTTTTAATCATTTGTTCAGTAAAGTTAGTCATTTCCGGAGCAGATCATCCATCTCTACTGTAAGCCAGATTCCAATATCTAGATTGCAAGTTATTTTTACATTCATTTCATCAAAATTAAAGTTTAAATTTTCAATTGTTGGAAAGAGATTAATTTGGGAGCTACAGCAAGATACGCAAAACTAAATACTTTGATGTCAACAAAGCAAAAAATGGATAAAGACATCTACTTCATATTATATTTTGAAAAATAAGATTTATATGGAAATGGAAAAAACTTTCTTGCATATTCTGGCATTAGTACCAAATTAAAAAAATTCATTACGCTAAGAGACACAATCACAAAAGAGCGACTGAAGGGGAGAGACATAGAGGGCCCATTGACAAGTCCAATACAAATGGCTCAAGCCAAAATATTTCCCGATGAAATGGACTTCAAAAAATCGACAAGCTCGTTAACCCAATTTAAAAATCCCCATAGTATATGTTAATTTCAGGTGAAAAAATTTCAGCTAAATAATTTGCAGATGAATTTAACTCATTAATGATGAAAATTTTTCTCTAAAATTAATAATGCTGATGGTTAATTTGTAACTTCTCAGGCATCATGCAATACCTTGGTGATATAGCAGAACAGCCCCAAAAATTCCACAGCAAGATCGCTGCCACATTTCTGAAAATGTCAAGCTCATTCAAGAAATTTATTCAAACAATTTTAGCATGTGTAAATTGTTTCTGAAATGCAGAAACGTAAATCTTTTTTGTAACAGGATAAAATATACTGGCATTTAAAGGAGTTAACACTTTACCGGCCGCTAGCAGTTCAACAGCATACGCACGAATGACCGGCCGCTCAGCTGCAATTCCTGAAGTTCTAAATAATTATCAAGACAATCCGATAAATTGTCTAAATGACCCTCCAGTACAATTCTTTTTTTGCACTCATCGTGAACGGTAATTTTTTAAAAAAATGGTGTGAAAATGTGGGAGTTTACGAAGCAACGCACTTATCGCAAGTGAGCAATGTACCTCAATACTAATAATAAAATGCAGATGATATAGCAAATGGCAGTTGTTTATCACCATGGCTACCGATTGATAGGCTATTTTTATGTAGCCCCAAGAAAAAAGTGATTAATAGGCTATCAGTCGCTAGGTGTTGGTGGAAAAAAAAAACATGATTAAATAGGAGATCGATAGGCGTTGGCGATAAAAAGCCGATTAACAGGTTACCGGTCAGTAGGCGTTGCCGATTAATAGGCTACCGGTCAGTAATGCGCTAAGATTTTCCCCTTCATATATCATTCAAATAAAAGAATGGATGACACAAACACTAATGAATGATCATTTAAAAATCATTTTGTACCCAAGGCTTGGCAACATTTGAAATTGGCTTGTTGGCTAGAAGTAAAATTTAGTTAGACGTAGCAGCGCAACTACTTTGATGTACTTTTACAGAAGAAAAAATATTGGCTTATAATTACAAAAATTAGTATACAATCAACTAGGTATTTAACCTAAAAATTAATAGTCCTATCCAATACAATTTTTTTTCTTCTGGTGAAAATTTTGGGACATAATGCCAGACTTAAAGCAATCATCTCTTTTGGCAATTTTGTAGTAAATTAATGTATTCTTGCAGAAATTTAGTCAGTCTTCCATTACAGGCAAATCTTGCACATTCGCATTTTAAGATGAAAATATCTCGATTTGTTGTAATTCATGTTCTAGTGATTAAAAATGACTACAACATTAAATACAACAAAAGGAATATATATGAAAATGGAGATGCTGCTTGTTAAAACTGAAAACTGTATATGGATGGCTGTTGGAGTTTGGAAATTTACCAATGTGGTTGCAATAATACAAGTATCAAAAAGAGTTTCGATACACCGTTCAGCACATAGTGAAATATGCCACTTTTCACATCAAATCATACATCTATCAGTTCTAATGATACTGAACAATGGATATGCTCATGGATATTGAAGTGCTGCACGCAACAGAATGCAGATATAAAGTAGCCTTTTTAAAATCGCTGCCACATTTCTGAAAATGTCAAGCTCATTCAAGAAATTTAGATGTTTTAACATAAAATCTAGGGATACAGAATTGCAAAGTCACTGGAAGTAATTTCTGCAGATATTAAAAAAAATGCTGTGCTTTATTTATGGCTCATTACTATACATGAAAGTGACGATGGCTATGAATTCTGAAATTTTCTGGTATAACAAGTAAAGGACAAAATATTCCCATTAATGAAATACACGAGGAAATGTGAAAAGAAAATAAAGATGATATAATAAATTTTTCACAGCAATGGTGGCAGTGCCCCAATCATCTAACATAGGATTCTTCAACCTTTCATGTCCAAGGGCCACATCAGTAAATTCAAAAAGATCCACGGGCCACATGTCTCTCTCTCTCAAAAAAAAAAAAAAAAAAAAAAATGTAGTCAGACTATTTATATAAATAAGGGAGTTTTGTTTTGCAAGACTACGATAACTTTTTTTTAACTAAAGGGGGGAACTTATAAAAATTATTGTACAGAACGATGTTACAAAATGCATTTACAATGAAAATAGGAAAAAACTTACATTACTGGAGATAGTAGTTACTTTAGTTTTAATGGAAATTCAACACTGTTTTTGCTTGATTAAAGCTTCAATATCCCAATTAATCTGTTGCTATAATTCGTAAAGTTTCCTCCAAATGTCTGTCAGCCATGCTCTTGTTTTTGATTTTAGGATTTTCATTTTACTAAAAAGCTGTTCCCATACGTAAATACTGTCACAGATAGAACACATGAAAAGTGCATGTTTACGAATTCCAGGCTATTTGTCTTCGGTCACGTACTTCGAATAAAAATTAATTAATGTAGAAGTTTCAAAAAACTTATTTTACTGCAGTCACACTGTAAATCTATAAATTCTAACTGAAGCTCAGGGGGAATACTTTCAACGTCTATTGAAAATGGCAAGGAGAACATTCATTAAAATTTCATTTATACAAAAATCCACTTTTGAATTCCTCTTTCAAATTTGAAATGCCTTGTACATAATTATTTGAATTCCCTGTTGTAGAGTACACTCCATTAACTTTGGAAAGCGAGTGGAATTTTTATTTAGCAACTGACTTTCCCGCAGGATTAATTTTGTCTCAAAAGCTTTCACAAAATGATAAAGATTATGAACAAGTAGATCTTTTCCCAGTAAGCAGTCGTTCAAATCATTGACATGACCTGTAATATCGACAAGAAATTCAAAGTCTTCCAATCATTTCTCACCACTGAACTCGTGAATACATTTCTCTTTAAATTCCATGAATTCTTGAACTTAGCTCTTCAAAGAAAACAGGCACTGAAGCATCTTTCCTTGGTAGTTCTGCTTAATACACAACATCACCATATTCAGCCTCAAAATCTCTCAAGGTCTGCTGAAATTGCCCGTGATTATGTCCTTTAGACTGAATTAAATTAACCACTTTAACAACAACATTAATCATATGATTAAGATACAATAACATGCCGAACAAATATTAATTTAAAAGTCAATTAACAAAAATCAGCGTTATATTTTAAAATTTTCACAGGACTAGTTTCGATGGTTTTACCAAACCATCATCCTCAGCTGCAAAAGCGCAAATGGATGTACGTAGCTTCATCACAGCTACACTGTGTTTGCAAAGTGCCTTAACCTTATGTACAACAAAAAATAAAGATCTGACCACTTTTCTTGAAACAATCGCACTTTTCCTTCAACTTTTCTTTTTTCCTTATTACGGCTTGCCATTGTTTACTCATTCAAAGACCATAAACGCTTCTGAATTTTAAAATGTGGATTGAGCATCAGTAATCTAGCTGAAAATCAACTGCAAAATCTGCTTATCACCAAATCAAACAGGATGTTTATGATCACCATTCCCTTTGACAATTAATTGCAACATTAGGAAAAATAGAATTCTGTTAATTTATTTCCCCTCCCCTCTATAATATTGACACTCTCAAGCTCACCTTTGACTAAGTATTGATGAAAGATTGACATCTGTTGCAAACCTGTTAGAGATAAGAATCTATCCTTTTCATGGTATTCAGATTTTATACATAGTCAAATTTTTTATTTTTAAAATTACATAAGATAAAGTGAAATTTTTGAAAAATTCCATCACTTTCAGAAAATTTTATCTCGAATAATATCAGGCATGTCAATAAAATGTTTTAAATAACAAGAATAAGAGAAACTTTTTTTTCACAATAGAAAGCTGACAAGAATTCAAATGTGGGACTACTACCTTCAGCAGGCCACGGGTTGAAGACCCAAATCTAAAAGATAGGTGAAGGTTTCAAATACTGAAAATATCAAAAGCGAAAGTAATGATAAACAGTTTTGAGAAAATACCGACTTACAGTTCAGTAAGAATTCTTGATACGGTAATTAGAGAACCTGA